AAAAAAAAAAAAAAAAAAAAAAAAAAAAAAAAAAAAAAAAAAAAAAAAAAAAAAAAAAAAAAAAAAAAAAAAAAAAAGAAAGAAAAAAAGAAAGAAAAAAAAGGGCAGTGGCTTATTTCTCAACACATCCGACACTCCACAGAGAAGTGCCAGCGGTGTCAGGCAATGGGCTGACTTTTGGCTATCACAAGTCCTGCTGATGCCAGCAGCCGAGCTGTCACCCAGGGCTGTCCCGCTGCTGCTCTCTCCTCAGAAGGTCACCCTGCTCGAACTAATGCCATAAAGCACCCATCAGGCAGATTTGCAGTGTTCCTGGGGGTTCACAGCTCTCGTTTTATGCCAGAGGAAAAACACAGGAACGAAAAGATTTCTCGTGATCACACCTAGAAGTTGGTTCGTTCGCCCTTGCCTGCTATTTTCCCGCTCCAGCAATGTCCTCAACAGAGAGCAGCCCCCGTGGGAGAGTACATACACACTTACCACTCTTTATTGAAAAACGCACTAGGTGCGAAACAAAGCACTTTAAACCTTCGGGGAATAAATTTCCAGCTCCAGACACGAGGCAGCTCCCGCGTTCCTTGGGGAGGGCCCCCAGACCCAAAGCTGCCGGCCGGAGGGGCTGAGGCACCTTCCAGCCGTCCCCGAGCAGCCCGAGCGCTCTGCCCGCCGCTCTCCCGGACGAGCCCCTGCGGGAGCCCCTGCGGGCACGGAGCGAGCCCCTGCGGGCACGGAGCGAGCCCCTGCGGGCACGCAGCGAGCCCCTGGGGACTCCCCTCCCCGGCCGAGCCCGGCAGAGCCCGCAGCCCCCCGCCCTCACCTCCATGGCGCCGCGGTCCCTCCTCGGCGGGGCGGCGCCGTCCGCCCCTTCCCCGAGCCCGGGGCAGCGGCGGGAGCGCGCCTGCGCGCGGCACCGCCCCTGCCGGGAGCGCGCGGGGCGGGGCCGCGGCTCCCTGAGGGGACGGAGCGGGGCACGGCAATGGGGCACGGTCCTGACCCCCTGGCTCTGACCCCCCGGCTCTGACCCCCCGGCTCTGACCCCCCGGCTGGGCTGGCTGCTTGCCGTCTTTCTCCTTGCCCCATGAGCCATATCACAGAATCCGAATGATCGCCGCGGCCGCTCTGTGAGGGAACGCCGCTCTGTCCGGGGAGCGCCGCGTCCCGCCCGTCCTTAAACTCCTCACCGCCTTTCCTTAAACACCTCCAGGCAGACTAAGAGCGGAAAGGAAAAGTAAAGCGGCAACAGCCAAGAGGTTGGATGAAGCTAGGGAGGCACAGCACGGAAACCCTGCTGCTGGACAAAGTGTCCGAAGAACTCCGGGAAGGTGGTGCTGAAAACCTCAGCAGCAGCTCCGTGTCCCACCCTCACTTGCTCTGTCCCCTTTGGGATAATCAGTGTCCTTCTGCACTTTTTCTACTCTTCCTTGGATAATTTAGAAGCAGCCTAGTTTTCTCCAGCTAATTCCTTACCTTCCCACAACTGATCTCTTTTTATATTAGCAGTGAAACATGTTCCCTTTGTGTCCCATACAGCCACAGAAGCGAGGCAGCACTGTAACAGCAGCGGAAGAAAGGAAAACATGCCATTCAAATACTTCAAAAAATATTTTTTAACAACTACGATTGAATTAGGCTTTTAATTTGTCAGTTTTATCCCTTTTTAGGTTGGCATTGCCAGAATATATATTTGATTGGAAAAACAATCAGGTTTTCTTCTCAGCAGACACAAGGCACCTGCTTTGTACAATAGCTCCAAGAGAAAAAATACCAGAAACCTTACTTTGGAGTTTACAGATGAGTCCAGTCTCTCAGTTTTACAAAGAAAAGTTCTGATTATTTCACAGGTGTTAAAAAGGCTCAGGAAGAGACAGTTGTCAGTGTTATTTCCCACTGCTGGTTTGAGCAAGAAGGTGGAATCATTTGTGGAGAGGGTGGCAAGAAGTAGCTCATTTCCACATTAACTCAGATGGGCATTTTATAAGGTTATTCTCAGTTTGGGTGACATTTCAGCTCTCATTTTAGTAGAACAAATGAAAATATGTAAACTTGGTAAATTTAGAGTTTGTGCTAGAAGGAAGAGTAGATGAACTCCTGTGAGATACTACTCCCTGCCTCGTTTGTGATACAGATAATTTCCATAAGGATTTCAGACATCCATGGAGATGCTAGTTTGGAAGTGAAGATGGAGATGGAAGTGGGAGATGTTGATGCCTGGAGACTGCAAGCATTGCACTGTGTGGCAGCAGATATATGAGCAATAATGGGAAACTTTGAAGCAGAACCTGAGCATGCCTGGAAAAAAAAAATCCAAATAAATTGCAAGTTATCAAGTTATCAGGGCTTTGGAAATCATGTATAGATGTTCTAGCTCATTTTAGTTTCCATTTGTGAAGATCTGGGAATTTTCACACCGTGTTACCTCATTTCACCTGGGAGATGGAAAATGTCAAATAGAAAAAAGCCTGTAGGAAAATGGATGGCAAAGGGAAAGAGTCCTTTTTACCTATAGAGCACCAGAAACCATCTTCAAGGTCCCACAAAGTGAGAACAACTTCTTTCAGCTACCCTGGCCCAAACCTTACAACTCTGCTGCCCCATATGGGGTTAGTAACTTCTTGATAATAATGTTTTTCACCCAAAGCTCTTCAATTCCAGTAGTGTTTGCTGTTGTGTCACTGTCGAGGCAGGACAGGAATGAATAGACTTGACTCAGAAGGCTGCTGAGAGTAAAACTCAGATTTATTCAAAATACACTGCTCTTTTATACAGAGCTTCGCAAGGATCAAATCCTTTGGTTCTGAAGTGAAAACAACCCACACCATCAGTGCAGAGTGCTTGACACACAGTGATAGAACTTAACTATAAACAATGTGAAAAACAAGAGAGATAAAGAATTATTTACATTCTTTCCCAGCTCATTCGCAGGCCCCTGCCTGGCTAGAAACTCTCAGTTTCATTATTTGAATCTGAGACCCACACTGTTGTTGAAATGGCTCAGATTGAAACACAAAATCCAGATTAGTTAATGAATTACAGCCTCAACCCATGAGCATCACAGCACTGCAGTTTGTGGATATGCAGCTTGATATCCTCAACTCTAAAGCAAGTTCAGACATGTGTTCCCTGCTCTTGCTGCCTTCTCTGCCAAGGGAAGATGCAGCACAGTTTGACAGAGCTGCCAGTTCCTCGCCTGGCTTTGAAGGACACACTCGGAAGCAGAGCAGTGCCTGGGACAGCCAAAGCCTGCAGGTCCCAGGACGGGCTGGGGTTAGTGGCCAGCAGTGGTTCCTCTGTGGGATCCTCTCCCAGGATGAAAGCTTGCTTTGTTCTTGCCACCAAGCTGGCAGTATAAACAGCAGAAGCATTGAAGCCTGTTTTCTGAGGGGTGCACTCCTGCAAGTTGGTGCAGTATCTGACGTCTAAGAATGTGCAAGCCCAGGAATATGTCTCCACAGCCAGCAGCTGCTCCCCACAGGGATGTCTGGTAGCCCATCCAGGATGAGGATGCTCCTGTTTCCCTCTCTCCCCTCAGGGAAGGGATTAGTAGGTTTTGCTCTCCACTAGCTGCCCACCTATTTCCACAACACCTCAAAACCTTTTATCCTTGAACGGGTCAGGACTCAGGTCTGTACAACTTGTCATGTTAATCTCCACTTGAACAGAAGTAAAGGGTAGACTGTGGGAGTAGCTCAAATCCAAGCAACCACATACAGACTCTCAACATCTAGAACAGTATCAATTCAGAGAAAGTAATGTTAAACTTCTGTAGAGTATTTACAAATTGAATTCATTGTGATTTTTGAGTCCCATTCATTGCTTCTCGTTCCACCTTTTTCTGCTGGGTTAAAGGATTCTTACACAAAACACCATCTTCTTACTGTGAGAGAAGATGTCTGTTCTCAAAGCAAGGTGTATATACTTGAGTTTTTGTTTTTTCTGTCCCTTTTATTCTTTGCAAGATATCCCAGCTGCATGACATTCTTAACCAGAGGGCAAATCTTATTTCAATCTAGTCTGTTATAAAGCGGGAGGGGAAAATAAAATAAAAAATAAAAAGTGTTTTGGATTTCATTTTGTTGTTTTTAATAGAATATGCATGGTATTTCTGGGAAATGTTTATGCTAATATTTCAGGGGTAAGTCCCATGTAAAGTGAAGAAGAAAGCTCCTCCTCAAATGGTATAATTAACTTATTAACTACAATAAGTCGTTATTCCATGTGACTTTTCCTTTTATTTTTTAATAGCTTTTCAAGTGCATGGCTGCTTTTTACCCATGCAGCATATGCAGCAGAGAAGAGAAGAAGCCATCTGTGTTGGCTGTTAGGCAAAATAAGAATTACCAAAGCTAGTTTTTATTTAGCAGTTTTACAAATGGATCACAGTACTCTGGCCTATGTTTTCCTGCTGAAATTATTTCAGGCCTTGACTAGAATTATTCTGCTCTTATCTGCCCACAGCTAAGCACCTGAATCTATATTTAAGCACCTGCAGTCTATGCTGATTTTCAGGACACACAGCATGTACTGTTCCCTCTGCTGTTTAAGGAATCTGTACAGGCTCAGTTTCTCTGAAAATTTAGGCAGTTAAACAGAAAGAGGTTTATGCAATCACATTTGCCAAGATCAAGCTTCTGTGTCATTCCTTTGTGTGAATGTCCCTCCTTCACCTCCACCCCCTAAAAAAACACCAGGAAAAAAGAAAGAAAACACTGCTCCTTGGAGGAAACCTTATGATTCACATGAAGTGTATCAGTAGCGTGGGATATCTCTGCTCCTAGGGACCAGGTTCCAGTGTTCCATCTGCAAAGCTTTTCACATCAGGGGAAAAGGTAAAATTCTCAAAATGGGCACTAAAACTTTCCATGTGGATGCGAATGCCAGGCTGGAACCTGCTTTTCCTGTAGCCAAATCCCTAAGGAGTACCCACAGCTTCACACAGTGCCACCCCACTGCCCTCTGCGACAGAGACCTGAGCTGACTGTTTAATAGAGAGTAACACAGGACCTGGAAAACATGCAGCCTTCTGGAGAGCAGCAACTCAAACCTTTTGGACACAAGCAGCAAACAGCTTGTGTCCACTGTACAATCTGGTCATCAGAAGCTGTTACTGTGCAGCCTGACCTGCCCCATCTACCCCCAGCAGCTTCTCAGCAGCAGCAGGGACTTCTACCAGTCCAGACTGCATTTCATCCTCAACAGTTCCTCACAGGACAAAAGGCTTGAGATCCAGTGATGTTACAAGTGGTGTTTTGATGATATATTCCTATTAGCATGAGCAAGGCTAAACTGTCTCATGTCCTTGGGCTCCCTGGGATATTACCCAGATGAGTAATAACCTCTTTGGCCAATTTTTTCGGATGCTCTAGTTTTATCCCATGACACTGTACATGCCACATCTCTCTGAGCTGTGCAGAGGTTTAGGCAGTATTTGTACATAGTTAAATTCTTGGGGCCAGGGACCAACAGTACAGAAAGTCAATTTGATAAGTGGGGGTTGATAACTTCATCCTACCCAAGTGTGTTCCTCAGATGTGAGAGATGCAGCTGCACAAGTGATCAGCACTGAAGAGGGAGGCTTTCAGAGTTTTCTTTTTTGTGCAGAAGGAGCTTCTTTAATCCTCCTATTGCTATGGGCTTGTTACAAGATAGTGTAATATAAAAGTATCTGTGAGCTTTAATGAATTTGTAAGTCATAACACAAAAAGGGTATCTTGGGGAGAAGATTGTTGTCGCTGCTGGAAACAGAAGTGGGAAAATTATTTTCCCTTCTGAGTGGTGACATTTTCAAATGCAGCATCCCAGTTTCATCTCATGTTCCTCATCTAATTAGGTATTTCTTTTTGCATCAGTGAGCAAGTAATACCCAGCAGATTGCTGCTGGAGGATTACCCAAATAGCAGTGAAGCTTCTCCTTCTAACACAGGGGATATGGATCCTCTCGCCTCAAGATTATTGTTCCTGGCAGCAGATTGTAAAATGCATAGAACCATTTGCTAAATATGGAGTAACCTTTGTCCAGCAGACAGCATCTGGACCCAGCTGTTCTGTAAGAAAAGCCCTTCAAACCAGGATTCCTACAAAGTCCCAAAATTGCTTCAAGCATCATTTGGGAGAACAAGTGCCAAATAAATTTAAAAACAGCAGTTGTGGAGCTGCTGTACTCAGTACCCCGTGGGTATTGCCTGAACAGAGCTATCCCAGTTATCCTGGCTGCTGCTGAGGAAGCTGTGGCTGACCCCACCGGTGAGCCAGCTTGGATGGGTGAAAGGTTGGGGGAGCTCAGGTGTTGGGAGAGACCAGAGATGATGGAGCAAAGATGATGGGGCAGTCAAAGCATGGCCAGCACTGAGTGACTACACAGGTCCTGCCCTGTGGGTGTCAGTAGCAGAGGACATCACCTGGAATCCCCAATGGATAAAAGTAAGGTAGCTTATTGGAGATGAATGGATTGTATTCCACTGAAACCTTCAAGAAATTTGCAGGCAGACCATGCTTCTGTTTCCCTCACAGCCACCTCTACAGCAAGAAATTCTCTTGTGTGAAAGACCTCATGGTTCTCTGTTCTCCATGCAGACATGGCATTTCAGGGTCTCTTCACAACAAGGACCTGGACACTGCACTCTTGCTTCAGGGTTTTCCTAACATTTATGAGTCGCTTGTCCTTCCCTGACCTGCATGAGGGAACCTGTCTGACCAGGCTGTGTTAGCAAAGTCATCACTCCCTAGAAAGTAAAAGTTGCACACATTCAAGAGAAGCACTCTTGTAGCTAGTTGTGAAAGTCTTTTGAGTCACGTTAGCCCGGTTCCAGAAGAGTGAGCAAGGAATTAGAAGTGTAGTAAGAGGAATTAACCTTACCTAGTGTTACTAACCCATCTCATCCCTTTCTGATTCTCAGTGGATTCATGGTCATCTTCCAGCATGGACAGATTTTGAACCCTTGGAAACCACAGATTCCAATTGTCTCCTTTTTCACTCTTCCCTAGACTTTTCTTACATTTGACAAACTTTTATCAGGAGAGAAATATCTCAGCCCAGATCTTCTCATGGTTATTGTATTTATCCAGGACTGTCCAGCCTCAGCTTGGGCAGGTTTAAACTCAGGAGCCACCACCCAGATCAGCAAACCCTCCACCACCACCCCATGTCCTGTCAGGGGAGGTCAGCCTTGATCCCTGCCTATGCCTGGCCATTTGCTTCACTGGCTGAGTCCAAGCCTTCTCCCTGCCACATCCCTGTGGCAACTAGGCCAGCAGCCATTATGTTCCACAAAGCCCTTTCTTTCCCATCCAAAGCTATTCCTAAATTCCTCAATGTCTGCAGATATTGCCTAGCACAATCTGTCCCATGCCAGACTCTACCTGACCTGCTGACCAGCATAACAGCCTTTTGATCAGTTCCAAAGGAAATGTTGGCTGCAGAGATGAAAACCAAAATCCTGGCAGTAGCACATCTGTCCTTCATCACATGAACCCAGGAATTCTGCACAGGGACAGATGAGTCCAAGCACCTGACAGGCAGCTGAGCAGATGAGTCATTTGAGGAGCTGGGGCTGATATGTGCAAGTGATAAATGCATATTTAATGTATTCCAGGATTCCTGTCTGCTTTCAAATTGCTCAGGGATGTTTGTTGAGGCTCTGGGGATGCTGGAGCTTCACAGGCACAGTTGAGACTCCTAAAAGGAGCAGTTTGACTCCGATACTTATCTCAGCACTTTCTGCTCCAGAAATATCTCAGGCCTTAAAGTCTCCAGGCTGGGAGGCACTCAGATGAGGAGATGGGGAATTGTTCAGTGTCTTGGGGAGAAACAAAAAGATCTTTCTGGCAGTGAATGATCTCCCTGTCTCCTTTCCAAACTGCTTCCAGAGTTACTGAAGACAGTTGTCACAGCATAATCATGAGCTTTATTTCTTTGGGTAAACTAGATTAAAAAGGGAGAGAAATGAAAAAAAAAAAAAAAAAAAAAACCACAAGACCTTTGAAATTCTTTGTAAATTGGTTGACCAACTCATAGGCTTGCGATGAGCCTATGAGTTGATCTTTAAAAATAGTGTTTTCTGTTCCACAGGAATCTATATGAGCTCCATGGTGCAGAGGAGATAAACCAAAGCAGCAAGGTTGAACTCCTCTGGCATGAGTTTGAAGTATACTTCCCTTTTGCAATTCATAGTAAATAAATTACTTGGTGGAACTCATTGCCTCAGGACCATGGACAAAAATAAAAGCAGGCTTCTGTGCTTTATTTATGGAAATTATTTACACCAAATCCTGTCTAACCAAGGAAGGTTAACACTTTCTCTCTGGGCACCTATTCGCTGACTGCACCATTCCCTTGGATTTTGTTTTCCACTCTCTAAACTGAACCTCCCAAGTTGCAAACTGTTGCTCTTGGTCACTGTCGCACAATATTTCTGTTGAGAAGAGCTTGACTTTGTCATCCTTGTACCTCAGCTGCAAGTAGCTGTAGGCTGCTATCAGCTCATGCCTTAGATCCTGCTGTTGAAACAGCTTCTCCATAATTCCCAACCTTCCCAGTTCCCAGAGGGTGCTGTGCATTGAGTCCAGCCAGGCTTCACTCCTCAGGAAAGCAGAAGCTTCTTGACAGAGCTGTTGTCGACTCGTGCCTCACAAACCATTTGTGCCTGCAGTTCTGATTTATGTGAAGAGGCAGGAACACAGATTCCAGGGCCTACATGCCTTTGCAAAAAATAGTGAGTAAAGCTCACCCCCATGAATGGCTGGGAAAATGCCTTCAGGGGAATTCTGATGCAAAGCCTGCAGGGGAGGATGCTGGCCAGCAACACTGGCCTCTGTTAAGCCACTCTCTGAGATGCAAGCTGAGGTCTCAGCGTGGCATTAAGATCCATCAGTGCTGCAGCTCTCAGGGAAAGACCACTCTTCAAAATATCCTTGTTCATTGGGCCTGTTTAATACAGATGGATCAGGGAAGAATAAAGTACAGCAGGCTTATTAATGTTTCTTTAATTAGTAACAGAACAAATATGTTTGGACTTTTACTGATTATTTTACACATTATTTTACAATATTGGAATGATGCATCAAGAGGTTTGGTGTCCATTTTCCTCTGTTTTATTAACATGTAAAAAAATACATCTGGTACACAAGATTTAAAAAAATATTTTCAGAACAAAATAAGTGCTTTGAGCACTAAAAGTTCACTTGTGCACTTTAACGTTGGCCTAAACATTTACATTTTCTAGCCACATCCCCTCCCTACCCCAAAAGTGGGCAAACCCCAGACTATAAATATTATCTGTGTCAGATACAGAAAACTTTCCCAGGAAAAGAACAAGAAACACAAACATAACAATTCTGTGGCTCAGAGAAATTGATTTTCACTCTCCCAAAACAATAAAAAAGGAAAAATAGAAGTATTTTTATCAAAATTAAAATGGCACAGGGAATACAACAGTAATTGTCAGACACTGCAAGCAAAAAGGGAGGAAATTTTGAGACATGATACCTTTCAGGGGAGTAATGGTACAGACCAGGAAGCAATAGTATGCTTGCAGATAGTCAGTTTCTTTTCACCAGTTTTTGAGACTTTCTCAGGTAGTCTGTGCTGATCACACTGAATAGTGACCTAGCTCACCTCCTTGGTCAAGGGGGCACTTGCCATTAGTCCAATCAGTATTGGTTTCTTCTTAGAACATCATCAAGTCCTCTCTTGCAAATGTGAAAAATCCCTTGAAGGGAAAAATGGTCCCTTTGGTAAAGCATGAATTAGGGCAGAAGGAGACATTCACAGCTCATGGTTAAAAACAACACATCAACAACTAACCACATGAAGGCAGTGGGATGAAATGCCACCAGCTTTGCAGCTGATCTCAGGTGTCACCACAAACCCACTGCCTGTGGGAAAGGTAACACCTGGTAGCCAAGGTCACACCTGCTCACAGGCAGGAATTGCTAATAAAATATTTGGAGATCAATATAGCTGAGGGCAAAACAAGAGGGAAGGTTGCTGCAAATTTGATGTCAGACATGGGATTGAGTCTTAGAAATCAGAGTGTGCAAAAGTAAACCAGACTTGGCTCATTCTCCTGTGAGTCAGTGGCTTTCTAAAACAGGAACCATACAACAGAGATTTGGATCTGTTAGAAGAAGAAAAATCTGTCCAGAGGTTCTTGGAAAACTTAGGATTCAGTCGTGGCCTGAAGAGGCAGTTTTGCAGTGTTTGTAGGTCAGTGAGCTGGAATGCCCAGAGCAGGTCCTAGGGAAGAGGTCTCCCACCACAGGGTGCCTTGTCCCACCGGGCTCTGAGTGAGCCAGCTGAGTTCGTCTGCCAGAAGATTTCAGTGGCAAATTCGTTCTGTCATTTCTTTCTGCATTGAAGGGGGAGAGAAAAGAAAGAAACAGTAAGTGCAAAAGACAGGTTTGAGTAGCGTGATGTATCAGGCAGTTTGGGAGATGTCCAAAACCAACCCAGGGAAGCAACTGTGGGAGTCCTGGGGAGCCTTCTTCTGTTTCCCATGACAGCCCTCCTGGGAACTCGGCTGCCTCAGCAGCTCCATCCTGGCACTCTCCCTAGTCTCTGTGGCACAAGGTTATTTTGGCTGTGCCCTAGCCTTGAGAGCAGTCCAAGCAAAGAGATTTGGCTGAGATATTGAAAGATGAAGGTGCTGCTCCTGGGTCAGCTGCAAAGCAGCTGGACAAGGTGATGCCACCCTCAGAGCCCCTCTTTGCAGCCTTAGGAGATGGGATATGGAGCTGCTCCCTGCTGTCACTGCAGGAGCTAACCACAGTTCACCCAGAGGACCTGTGGTTTCAGCTAGGGATTCCACAGTCACACTGCAATGCAAATGAGTGCTAATAACAGGGCCACAGGAAACCTCCAGCTTTGTTTAGGATTACAGACTTTTCTTTAGCCAGAATAGCATCACGCCAGCCACATTAGGAAGGTGTCCAGCTTTCAGCTGGTGGAAGATGGTATTTGTCCTTGCCTTGAAAAGCTCAACTAGCATCTTGTAAATCCTGCAGTGAGAAAAATGTGATTATGGTTCATTGGGTTAATGGCTTGTGAATCTCTGTGCCCACAAGTCCCCTCGTGCACCCCAAAGGAAGGTTTGCACATTAAAAGCTACTCCCGAAATAGGTTGGAAGTAGGACTGGTCCGTGGAGAAGGAAGAATGCAACTCTGAAAGAAGAAGAACTAGGAAAGGATGATGACCTTTGAGTAACACTATAAAAGGCCCTTCAGTTATACAACCAAGGGAAGCAGAAGCAGCAAACTCTGATCTTCAGTGCTGAGAACTTTGTTTTTCAAATCCATTAGGGACAGTGGCAAAGAGACGGTTTTCCTGTAGAAGTAACATGCAAAATCACTTGAGTGCAGAACCTGGCCATCAAACGAAAAGTTAGTGCTCTGCCACAAAATCACATTGCAAACAGGAAATGTTTGCAAACATCTTGGAAGGAAAAGAAGAGGGTGAAAGGACTGTGCACATCCTCTTGCAACAGCATTGCACCCACCCCAGTAGCACAACAGCAGCCATGAACAGGGAGGACTGCAGTGACCAGTGGGCTGGTAAGTCACCAGTGAGCTACTCAGACCAGCTCCAAATGTCCAAGGCTTTCCTCACATCCAGGAAATCCCCCCAGCTCTGCTTTAGTGTGTAACCAGTGGACCCCTGCCAGTGCTGCAGCCCTACATCATGAGCTGCCCTCATCAAGGAAGAAAGTGCATGGCTTCTCTCTGGCACCATCTTCCTTGATTTACTGAGAGTGAATCACTGCCTTTTGCTAGTTCTGCCATCCAGAGGATCTCATTCTCAGTTCCCAAAATTTGCTGCTAAGAAATCACATCCCACAGAAGCTTGACAAAAAGGAAATTGAAGCAGCTAAGGGGGATTCAGCCAGAGGAAAGCTTAAAAGTCTGTCATGGGATTCATGAGGACAAACTAAATGCAAGGTTAGGACAGCTGTCTGGGCTGATGAGGCAGCCTGGCTGTAGGACACTCATACACACCTAAAGCAACTCACTGCCTGAGGGAAGGAGGCCCTTCCTCCTCCCTTGTGGTTGGGTCTGCTTGAGGTTTAGATGGCAGGCAGTGAGACACAGATAGACCATGGGCAGATGTATCCCATTTCCTTGCAGTTTGACAGTGGTTGCATCACAGGAAAAGAATCTGTTCACCAGAGATTTATGGAGACCCATCAGTCACCTCATGTTGCATGTGAGTCACTGGCATTGAAAGCCTGTTTAGCAAAGTCAGCCTCTGCTTTGGCTGGCAGGTGTTAATTATTTACATTACCAAGCAGCTGAGGGGATGACACTACTATGGACTGTATAGCAATGCTGAAGAGATTTGTCATGAGGAACAGTGACAGAAGACAGACTGATGCTGAGCTGCCATTTTCTGGACCTGAGGGCCATTGTGATAATATGTGTTACAACTGAATTCTACAAAATAATTGAAGTTAATGCTGTTGTCATTCAAGTCTCTCCTGATTAAATCATGATCTCTCCATCCCTCTAAATCATAATTAGAGCAGATAGGCAGAAAATTGACTGAGACAAATTAAAGCAGTAAAGTGCTTAGCACTTAGAGGCAGGGGCATCTCCCCCACCTCCAGATCCTAAGCAAGCAGCTGGGACTCTTCTCAGCTCATTCTCAGATTGTATCCTCTTGGTCTTCCCTAACTCTGCTTCAGAACATGGCCTTTTCTGCAACCCAACCCTTATCACAGCATGCAAACTGAGCTTCCTATTAATTATTTTCCCACTGCAATATCCTCCCTAGGTCAGACTACACTCAACCTTGTCTGTGACAAACTTGCTTCCTTTACAAAACCAACTATGTGCATTTTCTACTTTATGAGCCCTGGGCTGTCTGGCCTCTGCTTCACACAAATCCTGCTTTGTCAAGGGCTCTCACCTTCTGCCTGGCTAATTGCTTCCCAAGGGAGGCTGTAGGGAAACTGGGAGATCCATGAGGCCTCTCCAGCATGGCCATGACAGCTGCTGTCTGAAGCTGTGTGTCCTATCAGGGCTTGCCTTCCCTGCAGCCTCAGTGTAATTCACACTGGGATCTCAAGCAGGGAATGCTAAAAGAAAAACTGTGGAGAAGAGACTGGCTCAAATCTGACTCCTGAAAGCCATGTGGGCACAACAGGCTGGAAACAGTTTGATATGCAAATTGCATTAGAGCTACCAAGTCACTCTGGGGACACTGCTGTGTGGTGGTCCTAAGGGTACTGAAGTTCAATTCACAGACATGACAGCAGAGGCAAAAGTTAAGAAAGGATCAGTGGTTTCCTTGGTGCTGCTGGGAATTTCTCTCTCAGAGCACCAAGGCTGATGGTCCCAGGACAGAAAACATGACTGTGTGTCTGAGGCAGGGTGGCCAAAAGAGTCCAGAGAGGTTCAGCACTGGTGTGTCCAGCCCACACCACTCACCCTCCACCTCCCCATCCCCAGGGCAATCCTTACCAAAGGCTCCAGCTCCCGGTGGTCAATGAGGCTGAACTCCCTGATGAAATAGTAAAAGTGCTTGTAGCAGGTGTTGACATGAGCCTCAGCACCCATGTTGATGATGCTGTCAAAGTGGTGGATGTAGACATGGACAAAGACACGGAAGAGGCGGGTGAGGATCTTGGTGCAAACTTGCTGGAACTGCTTGGGGAAGGGAACACCTGCAAAGCAGAAGCAAATTGGAAGCCATTTGAACATAAAAAAAAAAGAAACCAGTTAGCATTTAAATGTGTCTGCCATGCTTGACAGGCAGTCATAGATGACAAGGAAGGACATCCTTGGCTAATACTGAGACTGACACTGGGGCAGTGTGCCATTGAGCTCTTCCCACACATTCCCTCATTGCCCAGGTAGAAATTTCACATGGGCATGGGCTCAGGATTTGGAGAGTTGCTACAGGAGAGAAAAAAGAGTGGCTTTTTTTGAGGACACTGCACTCCACATCTGGCTCAATCCAGAAATCTGGTCCTCTCTCCCTGCCTTTCCCCTACAAGCCTGCCCAGGCACGTTGTAAGTCAAATTGAATTTACCCGGGTCCATGAACGAAGCCAAACCATCTGCCACCAGAAAAGATACCTTCCTCTGAACCCAAAAGTATGGCTTGTACTGTTTTCCTTCCTCCTCACACCCTCAAACATCACCTCTGATGCATCAGCAGAAATGGGTGGGTTTTCTACTGTTTTCCTGATCCTTATTTCAATAAAATGTCTCACTAAATCAGGAAGAAAACCACCCGTGTTAATGATGTTTGGGTTTCATTGTGCCTGTATAATCCTGAGATACCCTCATAGGATAAGGCCCACCACACCTGGCTCTATACTTTCAGCTTTGTCCCATGCAAGGATGCAGTGTGGGATATTTCCATCCTTTTCAAAATATGCTGCTATCACAATGAAAATTTCAGTGATACCATCAGTGCCTGCAACCTTGGGGTAAATCTCTAAAGGAAACATGGCTTTGAAACACAAAACTTTTTGTTTTGTTTTGTTTTGTTTTTGTTTTTTTTTGGTGAGGTGGAGAATGAAACAACTGATATTTGTTTTCCTGAGGCTTCTTCCTCTCCCCAGAGCAATTCAATGCAAATACACAAAGAACAAAATAAAAACCTCCCTTCCCACGGTTATACCAGCCTCCTCCCTTAGTTTCTTATTAATGCAGCACATAACCTCTTGAAAATCCTTCCAAACAAACTCTGCTCAACCATGGCCAGTTCACACATTTTGTGCACAGGAAAGCATCAGCAAATCTCTTAGCTAAAAAATTAAAAATGGTAATTTTATCTTTGAATCTTTCTCACCAGCCTTGCTAGGCAATTAAAACTGTTTATTTCCCCAAAGGCTCCTGGCAGTTTTGTTTCCCAGCAGCAGTGCTGAGCCCCTCTCCTCCGTGGGTGGCAAATGCAAAGGTTCTGTCCTTCCGACATCACGTGTGGAGCCTGTTTTCAGTCGCCAGGGTTGGGCAGGTGCTGGGTTTGGAACTCATAAGAGAAAATGAATTTTGGTCTAAAGCAGAGTCACCCTGAGCACAGGTCATGCTCCCTTTCCTGCATGCAGAGTGTTGGAGCCGAGGGCAGGGCTGAAGCGTCTGTGTTCGTGCCACATCTGGATGTCCCAGCCACCCCTCGGAGAAGGACACAGATCTTGGCTCAGCATCACACAGAGGTGGTTTTGAGACTGATGTGTGGCCACTGCTCTGCATAACCACGAGCACACTGCAGCCCCAGGGCTGCTCCTGCCACAGGGATTTCAGCATGACCTGTTTCACCTCCAGCTCTGACAGATCCCATTAGGATTTTTCAGGAAAGGTGTTCACATCTGGCAAAGTACAACCAAGCTGTCCCTATGCCAGCACCTTAGAGATGTGACTGCAGATCTGCTTCTGCCCAGCACCCTTGGCTACAGAGCTCTCCTTGCCTGCTAGTCTGACACAGGCAGGGATCAGAGAGCTCTCCATGCTCCCCTGCAGGCAGGAGGGACACAGCACTTTATGAATGGCTTCATTTGAGCTTTCTGCCCTGAGTGAGGATTTGCTGAGCAAATAAAAGCTGGAGTCACCCAGCTGGGGACTCAGACATGCCATTAGGGTGGGCCCTACAGACCAGCTTTGAAGAACTGGTTAAGAAACAATTTTTTTTTAATTTTTTTTTTTAAATAAAGCTCATTGCAGCTGATGAATGCACATTTCTGGGCAGTGGGCTGGGGAATACACAATGTCCTGGACAGCCTGTCATCTCCCTGGGACCAGAGGTAGCTGGGATCTCAGCAAGTGCCCAGGACCAGGCAGGAAGGCATTTGCTGCCTTCAGTTTCTCACCCATCCCAGTCACCAACTGCCTCCTCAGCCAAAGCAGGCAGTGAGGGAGAAATCCGACCTGACCATCCCTGGGAATTTATTGCCAAACTGCAAAGAGTGATAGCGAAGGAAAGCAGCAACCCTCAACCCGGTCCTGAGCTGAGAAGGAAATAAGCTCAGAGAGTGAACGGCAGATCAAAGAGATCTCAGGCTCCCAGGGCTGACAGCATCTATGGTGCAGATCCTGCTGTCAGATGGGCCACCTCCAGACATGGCAGATGGTGACAAGTGGCTTTCCACAGCTTTTGTCCTGAGGTTAGCCAGGAATTGTCTTATACATCTGTCACCAGCAAGTCCTCATGGACATGCTGGCAGCAGAGAGACTTAGAGAAGAGACATTCTGGTCTCTCAGAAGCAGCTTTTGCATCAGAGAACAGAGATGTAGCTTAAATTGCGGAATCAAAGAATAGTTTGAGTTACAAAGAATCTTCAGAGGTTAGCTAATTAAAAGCTCATGGTCATCAGCAACTATGGGAGTTGTTGAACTCCTAAACCTAATGATTTATAGAAAGATACCATCAGGCTGCCAGGACCTCCAGGCTCTCCTATGGACTACTCAGCCACGGTTTCACATGAACCAGGAGCATCGGAAGCTCTCCGGAGCCGAGGCGGAGCTGCCCTTCTTTGTGTCCATCACCAGGTGTCAGTGCGTGGCCGTCTCCTCCAGGCACGGCCAGGCTGTAGCGGTGGCTGCGTGTCACTAATGGATCTCTACAGCTCAGGACGCCCCTCTTTAGGTCCTTTGGGATGGCTCGGGTCCGGCTCTGACTCTTTCTCCACGAAACACCCTCGCTTGCACACCTGCCCAGGGAGGCAGAGCAGGGTCCCGATTCCTGTCCCCCTGCTGCAGCCACGTCTGTCCTGTGCCAGGACCCTCGGGTCAGGCTAGAGATGCTTGACTGGACCCCGAGTCTGTGCCAGCGGATCAGAGCACTTCCCCTCGGGAAGGAAGCAGGGCGGATATCTGACGTGCAGATTGCCTCTGCCAGCAGCGGTGCCTCGCTGCTGATCTCCAGCGACTTGGAAAGAAACCCACAGCAGCCCCAGCAGGCACCGGCCATGCTGGTGGGGAGCTGGAGAAACACCCCCTCCCCTTGGCCAGAGCTGAAAGAAGAGGCTCTGCAGCAGAGGCTGCATCCGAGAGCAGCAGATAAAGGCGGCTTGCCCTGGGTCAGCGCTGCTGGCGCAGCGGATGTCCGGCAGAGGACACAGGCGACATCCTCCCCGCACGGGAGGGGACACAGCCAGGACAGGCTGTGCCTCCTCCCTGCAGGGCACACACTGCAGCCAGCACGCCCCAGCCAGGGGACAGCCGTGGGACAGGGATCGCTGGCCACACGTGCCCCTCCTGCCCTCGCAGGCGCTCCGCCTTCACTGAGCTCGCTGCCAGTCCCACCGGGGCTGCAGGGAGGGGACACTGCAACAGCGCCTGCGGAGCCATGCGGCCCTTCCCCACCCGTGGAGGGGCAGCTGCTCCCCCAGGGCTCCACCTCCCTGCCAGGCTGGGCCCGGCGGGTCAGCCTCCCAGCACAGACACCGACCAGCGGCCAGTGCACTGATAAATGGCATCTGGGAGGGGGGCACTGGTGGCCTTTGCTTAGGGAACTTGCCCCATCTCGAAGGTGGCACATCGTGGCACAAACCAGAAACAGTAGCAGATGGATGAGACAGCGGGATGGCTCCGGAGGGACAGGCCCTGCATGGCTGAGATGTCCTCTTAGCAGAAATACAGCAGGCCAGGGGAAAGTCAGGGTGGACCTCCAGGTTTGACAAATCACCCCAACAACTGCTTGGGTTTGCTTCACCCTCCCCAGCCCTGCACACCTGCAGGGACCAAAAAACACCATCCTAGTTCATCCCATTGATGGTGGTATAACTGCCCCAGGGGGACAGCAGAACATCACAAAACCCACCTGGGCTGATTTAAAAGCACTGAAATTACATTTACATTTAGTTCCCAGCAACCTTGGAGAAAGCAGCAGCAGCCCACAGTCTGGCAGGCAGCAGCCACCCTCTGACTCCTCTTGCATGATGTTTAGTTTAGATATTAGGAAGAATTTCTACTCCAAGCCAAGGCAAAAGCTGTAAGTACAGCAGGTACCATTTCACTCCAAGCAGAGTGACTCACGTCCCTGAAATGAATTGGCACCTTTAGTTTTTCTTGGACATTTTGCTTGAAAATCCCAATATATGATTTAAAGCTCCAAGGAATCTGTTTTCCCCACTCTGGACTGATTGATTCAAAACATAAGGAAACCACGTGGAAAAGGAAATTAAAATGAGAGTTAAAAAGTGCCTGTGCTTAGGGTAAGGGACTGCCAAAGGGTCCTGGATCTTTCCTGCCATCTCCTATTCCCAACACTTGTGCACCAGCCAATTTAATTTTTTCACGATGAATCAGTACTGGGAAACTATTTTGCTTCTTGGCAATTGTACCTTTTTTCCTCTGCAAATGCAGTAATTCAGTGAACTTCGTGATGAATTGTTGTTGTTATTTCTCAATTTCATTTTGGCCACCGTGGTGTTCAGTGATTCATTTTTCCTAAAAATAAGTGTTTAAAGCCCAGTTTAAAACTAATGGCATGATGGCAGCTGCAAGCTGGTGTGGAATTAATTTTGGAAGAAAAAAAGCTGGGGGGAAAAAACCCAACAAATTATGTTAAAAAGAGCCAGCTGAGAGAACACCAATAATTAGCTGAATTCTGAACATTTTTCTCCTGTTGTTATGGCGAGAACGTATCGGATCATTTCGCAGCAGGTTTTCTCTGGTTTTGGGACTATGCTTGAACGACAGGCTTGAGTTTTGAAACGCTTTCCAAGAACTGTTATAAAACCTCCTGTGGCCAGTGCTCTGTCGAGCCACGGGCAGATCTGGCGGAGAGCGCGGGGTGCTTCCGGCGCTGGAGCTGCTCCAAACCCTGCGTCTGCACTCATCTAACAGCAGCGAGGCTTCAGCAGCACCACGGGGCTGGGGGGGGACACCTGGCCTTGTGCAACCAGCAGCCTGATGCTGGGCTGCCCACGGAGCCTGGAGACCCCACCCAGCCATCCTTCCTCCTCAGCACGGCACTGCCCAGCAGCAGCTCCCTGAGACCAGGCACCACAGGGCAGAACAATTACTGGGAGGAGAGGATATTTTCCAGGTGGTAATTTGTTCATGGATTTCCACTCACTGAATAAATCTACTGATATAGTTTTACCAGCTGGTAAAAGTACACCTGTAGAATCATTTATATTTCTCCCTGCATGGGAAAAATGCTTAGTCTCAATTTAAATGTATTTTTCAGGACAGCTACATTGGTTGGAAGAGTGGAAACAAAGCACTAGCACATACCAAATGATACAGGTTGTCTGGGAAAACTGCTGTTTCTGTAGATTTATAGCCATCGGGCTGGCAGAGCTCACACCATGCCAGGATTTGTCTCATCCTAACAGGCTGACAAACAGGTTCCCACTGCAGAGAAAGGATGAGACAGTGGGATGGAGCCCTGCAGGTAGATTTCCCTGGGCATGGGGAAGACACAGTATCTCTCCCAACCCTTGCTGTAGAATGCAGGGGGCTTGGCAGCCCCCCCAGCCCTGCTAATTATCTCCACCATAGGGATTTTCTACTGGTGCCATCCGAGGGCTGCAGTCCTGCTGGTTAACTCTGCCAGGTCACAAACTGTCTGCTGGTGTCGGGCTCCCTTCCGGCCATGTCACATGCCACCTGTCCCTCTGGCCTCTCTGCAGAGCTGGCAAGAGCTCTGCATCACGCAGCCTGGCTAAACCAAAGGTGTTTGTCACTCTGCTGCCCTCCCACCTCTGACAGTGCTGGAGGAGCAGATGCTTCAATGTGCAAATCAGCCCAGCTCTGCTCTGGTCTCTGCAGCTGTGACCATTTACCCCAGCCAAGGTCTCCCCTTCGATGCCTAGGGACATCCCCTGAGCCCACAGGTCAGTGAACCATCTCTGCTCATTTCTAGCTGAGCTTGTTTCTCACCCCGGGGTGAAAGATTTCCCCTCTCTGACCCACAAGATACCTCTCAACTGCCAGGAGCCCACCAGCAAGCCCTGCTGAATCATGTGCTGCTTCAGGCTGCGTAGCTCTTGGATGGAGGAGGATGCTGAGGTTAGCCTCCAGCAATGTTTGTGAGTCTGGGGAACTCTTGCTGCTTCTAAGAAAAACAAATTTAAAAAAGAGAAAAGTCTGTTTTGTCTGCGGTCAGGTGGCCTTAGCCAGGGAAATCTTTGTCCTGGGGCAGCTTTACTGCACATGGCAAAAGAGGGGCCAGGAGGGAAAGCTGGGAATGCACACAGCTGATTAAACACCCGCTGAGACAGTCAGCAGCTGTGCCCAGGAACCACTCCAGCACAAGCAGGAGTGAAACAAACCTTCAAGCTAAATCCCATCTCTGCTACTAACATCCAAGAGTCTCACCACAACTCCAAAGCATGACATTTGCAATTTCCCCTCATCAAGCTCCTTTCCCCTCCTTAACACAGCTCACATTTCCTCTGTGTCCTCTCAGTGCCTTATTCCTCTTGTCCTGGGTCTTTTCCCAAGGGCTTGCTCTTTAGAATAGAGGTTAAGCACCTCTGTTTGGTCACCCTGGCCACTGTCCCTGAGCCCACATCCTGGCCAGCCTCCTCTGTCATCCAGTGCATTTCCCTTCAGCCAAACACTCCATCTTCTGAAATGCCAGAGCTGCCAAGCAATTGCCAGTGAAAAAGGCAGGCCAGTGAAAGGCAGATGATTGGGGACACACTGCTGACAAAGTGGCACCAGCTCCATCCTCCCTATGCCTCCCTCAACAGCCTTTCATGTGTTTTAGAGTGCAACCTCAGCTTGAGTTCCCTTTCACTCGTGTGAGGCCAAAACCACCACCAAGACATGCTGACACAGGGCCTGAAGTCATCCAGGGAACACAAGGGTCCCCACAACAAAAGGGCTTGGAAAATGGACCCCAGGAACAGCCTTGGAAGAGAAGAAAATGGATTTGACTCATGTTCACCTATAGTCATCCTGGATCTCACTCAGAATTGCCCCCAAACTGAAATGAAAGGAGAAATGGAAACTAGCCATCCCTCCCCACATCAGGATATGCTACAACTCAGAGGGAGAAATGCCAGAAATGAAGTGAAAACCACCAGGACCATGACTGCACTTGGCTTTTGCACCTCAGAGAGAGAGAGGTGGGAAAGCAGAGGATGCTGCAGTGTCCCTCCCATGGCTGGTTGCTTTTTGAGGTGTTAATACTCCCTGTACACCTTTACTTCCCAGAGCAGTGTCAAGCAGCACCACACCCCAAATCCCATCTGAAAGTCTTGAAATTGGATCAGGACACACCTTTCTGGCTGGAGGGTAAACAGAGTAAATGCACATCTGTGCCTCTGCTTTTCATGGCATGTAGATCTTCTCCTTGGGGACAAGCCACCTCAGGAAGAGGAACACCTACCCTGCTCCCTGTGGCTGCTGTCTCAGCCCTCAGCAGCAGCAAGTCTGTGCAGCCAGAATGACCAGGGACTTTGCTGTCCCCAGCAGAGCTGGGACTGCTGACCCAGAGTGTCCCGCACTGACTCTGCCAGGCAGCCACACTTCCAGCCTCCTCCGTTCACTGGAGTGCTTGAACACCACTGTGCCCACGAGGGAAAGATGCCTCCACAGCACAGAGAATGCCCTGGTGAATCCCAGGGACTGCCTCTCCCACACACCCCAAAGGCACCCTGCCTGTCCCCCAGCATGGGCAGCTGGCACTGTGCTACCCTGCCTGTCCCCCAGCATGGGCAGCTGGCACTGTGCTACCCTGCCTGCCCCAGACCACCAGCAAGGGGAAGAAGGCAGTGAGTGCCTGCTGGTCTTGCTTGCAGGGACTTGTCCCACCCTAACTCCAGGCAAAGCCAGAGCAGCCAGCTCAGATCAGGGGTCTGGGGGAGTCACCGAGTCCCAAAGACACAATAGTTTGGCACAAGCAGGCTGCAGGCACTGCCTCCCCTCTTGCTTGCAGAGACCCATGACCCCTCTCAGACTCCAACGGCCAGAGACTTTCCTTAAAAAGACACACAACTACATGTACAGCACAGCCAAATGGGGCTACAACAGTGAGTAATGCTGGTAATCCCACACAGACCATTTTCTTCAATGTTTCCCAGCACATTAATGAAAATCTTGACCGTAAGCTGCACTGATTTCATAAAGCTCTGTCAGCTTGGCAAACAAAAGAGGTCAAGCAGACTTGCAAAGCTATGCCTTTCCCCCCCACCATGCTCCTTAAATATTTTTTTTACACTCAAGTAGCTTCATGTTCCATCTGAAAAATGACCTCTCCAAGGCATGACCTGAGACTCTGGAAGCCCCATCAGCCCCAGCCCTTGAACTCATGTCCCCAAATGACAAAAAGCATCTAAGCAGCAGCTAATATCAGCTTTGGAGTTGCTGAGCTTTGCAGGTCAGCAGCAGAGGGGTTAGTTTGAAAGCTGCACTGCCTTTGGCAGCTGCTGCAAGCTCCTAAGGCCAAACTTTTTGAAAAGGTGTATCATACACCCTGGCAGTGGCAAGGCCACATCCTAGGGATGTGTCTGCTCAAGCAGTGCCTCAGCTACGTAGCAAGGTGTGAGGTATAATCAAGGCTGAGATGGAAAGGGGCTGAGGAGTGAAGCAGCAAGGGTTGAATCTTGGGACCATGAACCTATGTGGAAAACCAGAAAGAAACTGAGTTGGTTAGTTGAGAGAAAAGCAGGGATGTGATGACCGCCTCTAACCAGCTCTGCAGTTCAGCCTCTTGAGGAAAAGTAAGGAAGCTAATGACCTACCAGCCTTCATTTCTCACAAACACAGAATAAGTTCAAGCACAGAAAAGGAGAACATTGTGTTCTCCTAGTAGTAGGATGAGAAATCCCAAACTCAGTTTGGAGCAAAAGGGTGTGGGACAGACACTGAGAAACACCTGGAAAGGGAAATGACACGAAGTTTTGAATCACAAAGTTCATCAACCCCGAGGTGCAGCTTGGGAACCTGCAGTAGTTACAAGCCCGGCGTTCCTGTGGGGAGCCAGAGCACACTCACCTGTCACTATTGGACACAAAATGAGTACACAGAAGCTTGGTGAGTTCAAGAAAGAAAAAGTCAATTTTACTTCTAGCCTTGTTATATATAGAATTCTAAAAGTGACAGTGGATTGGAGGATGAAATTGCCACCTCCCCAACCACACTAGTTAAACTAACAGTCTATCAATTCTCTCCTCCCACAAAAGAGAATGCAAAACAATCATTATTTACATGAACAGTACGTGAGAACTCCAGTAGAAATATGTAAACATTATCAGAAGGCTAAAGAAGTTTTATGAGAACTTTAAAAGTTTCAAAAGAACTATAAAAGAAAATTTAACACTTTTAAGATTCAGAGCAACACTCACCTATCCTGGTGGGGAAGATGTCCTCGTTGTTAATGAGCATCTCAATCCAGTCCATCAGCATGCACATGTACTGTGGGGCCGACAGCTTGGTCGGCTTCTTGTACTTGCAGTCGTCCTGCCACCTGTACTCGTACTTGAGCCCCCCGGACATGATGGGGCAGCTCCTCTCGGTGCAGTACTCCGACATGGTGCCGTAGATGAGGTTGATGCGGTTGAAGAAGTCCACCACGTGCACGGCGATCCAGTCGTTGATGCTCTCGCCGGGAGGCAGCTGCACCACTGCCTTCAGGTCCAGCCCGGACTTGAGCGAGGCCTGGGCTTTCTTGTACAGCTCAAAGCGTTGCGTGCCCGGCTCAAACTTCTTGCGGGGACGGAACGTTTTGTCTTTGTTGAAGACTTGCTTGAGACACAGGGCCATTGCAGGCAGGGCCAGCCAGGGTGAGGGCAGAGGCTCAGAGCAACATGAAACCCAGGGCTGGCGTCTTCAGGGATGGAGGTTTCTGGGAGGAGAAGGAGACACATTTCAGTCACACATGAAGACAGCTGCATGCGTGGACACACTTGCAGGGGTTCGCAGCAGAACACTGGCTGACCCAGCTGCTCTGACAGCACATGGGGACACAGATTTGGAGTGAGCTTCTGGCCCCTTCACACCCACCAGGGTGACCTGGAGCAGCTGCTGCCACCTCACACAGCAGCTCCTGGCACTGGAGAGGGTAAGCCCTGCCACACGTGCCCCATGCAAGGCTTGATGGAGGACAGAGCCTTTCCTCCCTCCTGAGCACCCCAGGAGTTCACCAGGCTCCAGCCAACTTCTTCCTTCCAGGCTTTTACCAACAAGTGCTGCAATAAGTGAGCCATGATATCAGCAGAGTTCACCAGTTCGGGCAGTCCCACTCAGGTGGCCTTTTCCTCTCCTGGCAAAGGGGAAGCACCTCTTTCCCAGGGACTTGTCAGCACAAACAACCCCTGGCCCTGCAGCAGCAGCTGGCAAGCGAGGCCCCGGGGACCACACTGCGACCGCAGCTGGCTGCTGGTTCACACAGCCCCAACGCCTGGATCAATGGGAAAAGGGGGGGATTATTTCTGTTGTTCTGCCTGGTGTGTTTGTCCTAAAGAACAAAACCCACATCCGAAGAAGGGAAACAACATTGCCAGGATGCCGCCAGCTCTCCCGGCATGCACACAATGCACACGCAGCCCTTGGAGTGGTGCAGCTGATGCTCTGGGTGACTCCAGGGCCCAGCAGAGTGCTGAGCTCACCCCTTCCTGCCCAAGAGTAGCAGCACACATGAGGGCTGTATTTTCCTTTTCCTCTCTGAAATCCAGTGGAAATCCCATCCGCCCGAGGCTGTCCTGGACAGGCTGGAATTGTGTGTTTTGTTACCTGCATTAATCACCAGTGGTGTTAATGTGAGACCAAAGCCTCCTTGTGTTAAATGCCTTGCTGAGGCTTAGGGAGGAGAAAGTCCTACAATAACCTCCCCCTCATGGGGAGAGATGGAGAAGCAGTTAAGAAAAAGGAAGGAAAATATTCATGGAAAAGAGAAGTGACTGACTCAAAGTCCCAAGCAGGAGTTAACCTGGTGCTAACCTTGGATGAATATTCATTATTAAAAAGACAACTTTAGCCAAAAGCTTGCTATGTAAATTCTGTTTTCTAAACTCAGTCCTGAACCCAAGGCAGGTCCTATTAAGTGATCAGCTAAACATATCTCAAGTGAAACCCTCTGCCCCCTTCAGGTTCACCCCAGGACCATCACTGGGAGGCAGCAGAACCTAGTGATCATCCCAATGTTGCAGGATCTGCCTGGCAGGGATTTCAGGACTGCAGCCAGCACGTGTAAAACCCTCTCATGGATGCACACCCTGGTGAGGGTGTGAAGCCCAGCACGAATGCCATTAGTACACAACCACAACCTTTCTCACAGGCTGGAGCCAGAGCTTTGCCACCCTTACACAGTTCACAGCACAGTGAGAGCCCCACCACATTCTGCAGTAGCAGGTACAAAACCCCATGTGTTTTTAGGTGCTTTTTGCCCCACAGAGTGAGTTACAGCCATCACACAATGTTATGCAGTATGACTTCAACATCAGGATATTGGCAAACCTTCCCCAACCCATGTGGGTGGGTGGGATTTTAATGGTCACATCCTTGTCATCCTCATTTATTGGCTCAGGGCAATGACTGGGAGCTGTTTCTTTTTCTTCCCTGCTCCAAGCAACTGGCTCCAACCATGACAAAGAGCTTGTTTCCCACTTCAGAAAAGAGCATGATCTCTCCAAAATGCCAGCCAATGAAGCCAGCATGATGTCATGACTCCTATCTGTTCCTCAGAAATGGCCTGTGCTACTGCAGTCCTTACGGATCCCATGGGAGACCAGGGGACCCTGGGCACAGTGAGGCTCTAAATAAAAGCCCTTATCCAGGACTTCCTGGATTCCACATATTCAAGCACATCCTGTTGATAACACCCTCTAAAAAAAGCCTTCTGGGGAGTTTGCTAACACATAACGCTTTCAAAAACATGCATGCATACAAACATATATATTTATATATAACCACTGCAACAGGGTTCCTAATTTGGCAATGTAGGAAGTGCTGGGATACCCTCAGGATGAGGCACTTAGCAGGCTTTGCCCTTAGTGCAAAGTAGGAATGATGGAGCTGAGCAGTGCCTGGCCCTGCAGCCATGTTTCCCTGGAATTTCAGCAAGGGAAGTCATGCCAACAAACATTTCTCTATGTCACCATTTCTGCTGGCCTTGGCTCCATCTGCTCTGCTTCAGGAGCTGCTGTTGTTTGCAGACTCCTCCATGCAGAGATTGGGTTGTTCCATGCTGATGAGCAGCCACCCTGGCAGATGACAGCTCATCAAACATGTCACTTGCAGGGGCTGACAGCAGTGAGATCAGTTCTCTTTCAGTGCCCACACTGCAAGTTCTCCACAAATATTGAGCTACTGACTGGGAAACAAACATCTCATCTACTGAAGCCAGACCTGTAACTCATCTACAACTGCATCCCTGCATCATCCACAGCTGGATCTCTGTGTTACCCTGCAAGCTGCTCTCACTCATCAGGCAGGTGGGAATGTGCTTCATGGTTCAGCACCATGTGAATAAAACAGCAGTTCAAAAAAAAAGAGCAAAAAAATTGCTAAGTATCTGCCAGGTGTTTTTCCACCATGCATCTGTTTGAGTGGGAATGAGGACTAAACCCCATTGCTGCCCAAGTGCTTGGAGCTGACCTGTCCCTGAGCCTGCAGGATGCCAGCACAGCACTACAGCCTCTCTGCTCCCCAGGCAGCAGTTTTCTTTTCAGGATCCTCATCCTCATCACTACCAAACCACTAAGTTGTTTAAAGACCTTGTTAGTCTTTACTGGAGACAAATGTTCTTCAGAAATTACATTTAACATGAAGCCAAAAATACACCCTGAGATTTAGGACCTGAAGAAGCAGAAAGAGGCACTGAGCCAAAGAACACATTTGTTCTCTGCCTCACTTCAGAGCTTTCACTGCCCAGAAAGAGGTAAGTATGGGAGCAGTGGTGGCCAGGACAAGGACTTCAGAACCCAGCTCTGGCCCTTGCAGATGGGGCACTGAGATGGGATTCACCAGCTTAGAGAAAACAAACTGCAAAGTCACCAGTGCCTCAGATTCCCCTCAGGCAGACTCAGCACTGTTTTCTGGGAAGAAAAGGAAAATCCTTTATGAATGGACTTGGACACATCCTGAGTCTAACTGGTGGAAAAGGGCCTCAGCCAATGCAAAATCAGATTTTCTCGGTTTCCATCTTTATGCATCTGACCCAAACGGTGCTCTTCCATCATTGACCAAGTATTTGGGCAGATCCACCCACGGAAAATGGGAGATCTTCCAAGGTTTCTGGTGCAAAGTTCAGCTGAGTCTGATGTTCAGGGCTGTCATGTTCCTAGAAATCATGCTGTGCTCCACTGGGGCTTGGGGTGGGGCAGGAGACCCAGCCAAGTCCTAATCTCTGCTCACACTGCCTGTTGTGGGAAATCCTAAGGGCAAAGTGTTATCCAACAAGCTTAGGCAGCAGCTTCCTACAACACGACCGTGCAGGTCCCGCCCCGGCCGGCGCGGCAGGGCCGGGGCCAGCGCCCTGGCAGCAGCCTGCAGCTCCCTGCCTTCAGTTCCCACTGCAAAATCAAAGCTTTCCAAGAGGAACCTTGGCAAGGGCTGCAAACCCTCTTCCCCAGGCCACAGTTCCCATCACAGGGAGCTGCTGGCACTCCAGGCATCCACAAATCCCTTTCTGAAGCCTCTGCAAACCCCCAGATCAAACCTCATCTTACTCTTGGGAGTGGACAAGGAGCGAAGCAGGTGGAGCTGGAGACTTGCCCTGCTGACATCCTGTGTCCCCATAGAGGGTGGTTGGAAGAGGATGAGCGAAGTTTCTGGGAGGAAAGAGATTGATATTTCCCATGGGACATCCACGCAATGGTGTCCTTAGTGCTCACCCCCCACCCACACTCCCAAAATAGCCTTGGCTTTGAGGAGCTTGGCTACAAACCCAACTGAGTGGCCACAAATCCCATCCCTGTCCATGAAGACTGCTGGGCTTCAGTCCTACCCCTGTTTTTGCTGCTGGCTTCAGTCCTGCTGGTTTTAAAAGCAGCAGCAGAAGCAAAACTGAGTGGGGTTTAGCAAGAACCAGAAAAGCACAGGGTTAAGCTGTGCAAGGACAAGGCACAACCACTGCTGGGGAGGTAGCAGGCACAGACATGTGAAAAACTGATGTCTTAGATTGCTGGCAAGTCCAGAGATGAAAGGAAATTAACTGGATGGGAGGGATGCAAGTTCAGGGTCAGACTTAGGCACTAATTTCAGGTTTGAGGGTTGGTTTTGTTTTTTATCTAATCTAGCTTTCTTTCTTTCTTATCACTTGAAAACCACAGAGGAACACAACAAGGGGAAGGCTTTGTTGTAAGTTAAAAAAAACTCTGAAAGGTCTGTTTAGAAATGACAAAACAAAAGGGAAGAGCAGGCAGAGCTGTGGGAGTGTGGAGTGTGGGAGCTGTGTGCTGTGGGAGTGTGGCTTCTCCTCACAGTCCTGCAGGCATGGGGGCAAGATCACCAAAGAAAACTTTTGGCTTTGACCCCAAATAAGCTTTAGTCAGAAAACCAGCAGGAAGGATCAGACAGATGCACTGCCAGACTCCAGAGTGATGCTCACAGTCCTGCTCCCTGCATCAGTGTCCCAAATTTTAAAACTGATCTCCCTGCCCGGGCTCCCTTTATGGGCTGCAACAGCAAAGGCTTCAGGGGAAAAGGTGTCTGGGAAGCACTAACAACCATGAAGGATAAGGAGAGAGGAAAGCTCTGGCACCAGCACCTCCCATGCTCCAGTGCCAAGTGCATCTTCCCTGGATCCATCCCGAGACAGAAGCATCTGCCTGGAAACTGCTGCATTAGCAGCACACTCCAAGCCTCGTGGGCAGTGTGACCACTGGGGAGCACAACGAGGGGTACAGCACTGTGGGCAACCTGCAGAGAGACTCCAGCTCCCACTGCTTTGGGAAGAGGCCAAGGAGGCAGAGCACAGACCTGTCCAGCTTCAGGCACATTAGAGCAAAGTGTAGGTTAATTACTACCAGCTCTGCACATCCCCCTTGGGCTTCCCCAGGGAATCTTGCCTTTGGGGCACCCAGATATTTACTGTCTCTGTGTTTTAGGGGATTCCCTTCTCCCCACCACAGGCACTGTCAAAGTCCCACCCAGCCCTATCCCAGATGGAGGAGAAGGACAGCATCAGCTCAGCCCCATGTGCCAGAGCCCTGAGACAGCCAGCCAGCCACCAGATGGACAGTCTGCCCAGAAACCTGCAGGCCCCAGCTGGCTTTTCACTGCACTAGGAAGCCTCACTGCATGGCTGAGGAGTCAGCAGCCCTGTCTCTGAGCTTCTCTTCAAGCCCCAAAGAAGTCCAGATGCAGTTTGGTCTTCAGCCTGTCCTAGAGCATCTCTGCAACCAGGGCTGCTTCTTGGGATTAATGTCCCAAAGACTTCTCCCAGGCAACCCTGAACTGCAGACACTGCAGCCCTGAGCCAGGGAGGGACTGTGGGCAAATGGTGTTTCCAGGGAAGGCAGCATATTCCCTCTTTTTATAAGCCTTTCCAGCCTTGTAATAATCTAAGGAAGGGGGGCTGCAGAAGGAGGGTGCTGGGGAGCAGAGTCTGGGGCACTGGCCCCACTCCCTCTGTGCCTCTTGCTGGAGCCAAGCCCCAGCTGGGCTGTCCGTGAGAAACGGGGTTGTTGGCTGCTCATCCCAAATATAACCTAAACGATAGAAAATTCCAGGAAATGAGCCAAGACAAAATGCTGGGAGGGGGATCAAGAACCAGCACATAGGCTGGGGGAGCTTCAGAGAAGCCCTGGGCTCTCAGCAGAATCTCCCTGCCAAACCTTCCTTGTACAAACTCCCCTGGTGCCGCAGAGACCCTTGAGAGCATCCATGAGCACAAATCCCTGGAGCAGAGCAGGACTCAGGCCCCGACACTCCAGCTGGGGCCAGCTGCCAGCGGGAAGCTGTGCTGGAGCTTCCCCCAACTCACATGGTGCTTGGAAATCCCCAGCTCGTGAGAAATGGACCCAGATGGCTTCCAGGAACGGGACTGCTCACACCCGCCCTACAGATGTCCCCTGCTGTCCCCCTGCTCTGTCCTGCTCCTTGCCCTGCCTCCCTGCCACACCACCAGCACAGCAGCAGCTCTGGCCCAAAGGCAACAAAAAAGGTTTTCCTGTATCACACAAGACACACCCAAGCAGAAAAGCAAAGCAGCATCTCTCCAGGTTAGAGGCAGCATGTCCTTTTCATTTTAGCCATGATATCCAGAGGGGCTGGGGGCTTTTTGGGGGTACCTCATTCCTGGGAGCTGAGACCTCACTGCTACTAGCAGTAACTTGCTGCGAGCCCTGAAGTGTCCAATGGCCTCAGTGGTGTCCAAGAGCTCTGATTCAGTCCCAAGGGTGATTACTCTGTTGTCAGGCCATAATTCCAAACACCGGGTGCTCCAGGCCTGCGAGCTCAAGGAAGAAGGCGAGAGGAGATAAGAAAACCCATCTCCACCGCTTGTTCTCACCCAGTCCCTCCGCCCACAACTTTCCACCTTCCCTCCGACACCGGCAAAGCCGCTGCGGGCGCTGTCCCGTTCGGGAAACGCGTGTGCTGCCTTCCCCTGCCTGTCCCCCTTCCCTGCCCGGAGGGACCCCCTTTCCCTTTCCCTGCGCACCGCCGGTCATTCGCACGGATCCCTGCCCAGCACCCCCCGAACAGGGGATCTCTGGTATTTACACACTGGCTGCTGAGCCGGGACGCCCCAGAGGAAGGGGAAGAGCCTTCTGCAGGCGTCCATGGCCCGGCTGGGTGAAGAATTGCTCTTTTCTAGGCTAATGCCAACCCAGGTCTTGCCCATCCCGCGCTTAAAAGCACCCCAGGAGCATCCTCAGGAGTGCGGTGCTGGCTTTTTACCCCCCAGGACTCACCTCATCCCCCGGCACGGTGGCTTCCAGTCTCAAATCCCTCCTCTGCACTCTCTGCTCTTATTCAGGAAAAAGGAAAAATAAAATTTAAAAGATACAAAGTCCAAGCCAGGCTCTCTGTCAGGACTATTGTCAGTTTGGAGATGGCAGCAGCAAGAGCGGCAGGGAGAACTGCCTCGCTCCAGCGCTCACGGGGGTTTCGTTAGAGAAGCCGGGGCCGAGGGTTTTTCTCCGGTCAGTGATGTCACATCCTGACCCTGCCGGCAGCTCCAGCTGTCCCTGGAAAACCCGCCTGGAAGCGGGCCTGCCAGCCCCCACCATCGGCCGCCGTGGCTCGCAGGCTCCTGGGTGGGCACTCACTCACACCCGCACCCACGCTCCATTCCTGGATGCTGAGATCCTTCTTGGCGTGCAGTCCCGTGCCGCTGGCTGGCTCCGGCTTTCACAGGACAGCGGGGAGCTGGGGAAAGGAGATGAAATCCCGGAGTCTTTTCCCCTCCTCCCCCCATCTTTTCACAGTCCCTCTCCCTTTATCCTTCCCCGCTCTGCACACCCACAAAAACAGCCGGGGGTTTCCATGCCAGGCTAAGCTGGATACCATCCAAAACAGAAATGCCGGAGAAAGGAAAAGAAAGAGAAAAACTTTCTCTGCCCAGAGCACTTACTTTCCGTTTCTGTCGGAGGTGGGGTGAGTTCTGAAGCGCGCTGCGGTATTTAAATCCTGCTCAGCAAAGGCAAGCCCGAGCCAGCACGCTCGGCGCCGGCAGGAGCGGCCAGCCAGCGTGGGATGGCTTGGCAGGAGCCGGGATGTGCTCTGGGGTCGGAGTCCCGGGTGGGGCTGGAACACCGGCGTGCACCCCACGGGGGATGCCGGCGGGTGTCGCAGCAGGCGGAGGCAGAGCGTGGCCCTGTCACTCACGGTCCCTTCCTGGCTCGGTGACGTGTCGCTCCCAGGGGATGACATGTGTGATGCTCTGGCCTTAGTGAAACGTCTGCAAATTGTTTGGCAGCAGGACAGTTCTAGTGAGGGAAACGTTTCTAGTCTTTCGTACACGCGTGTTAAACCCGGGTCAAGCCAAGCGTTTGCAGGTGATGGGGCGAGCTGGGGAGTGCGGCACAGGGCAAGCAGGATGTGGCTGATGGACACGTTGGCATAAAGCTGGAGGGTTCAGGATGAGGGCCTGAGTCCCTGAACCCTGCCTGGCAGCAGGATGCATCTCTGCAGGATCCAGACTCCTTCCCCCAGAACACAGCTTCTCAGCTGCAGGTGATGCCAGGGTTTGCTTTTAAGGCACAATGTTCAGAGGCAGTCTTTAAAAATAAATTGATCCAGCAGCCTCCCAGACCAGCCAGCTACAAGGGAGTTCAGCCCAGCCCTGCAAGGCATTTACTCTCCTTTCCTCCCTCTCTCTGTGAGGTTGGTTTGGTGCAGGTACAATAGGAACTCTTTGGCACTGTAGGGCCCATTTATTTGGGCAGCAGCCATTGGTGGATCAGTTTTGACTGGAGCTGAAAGGAGTTGGAGCTTGCACACCCGAGAAGCCCCTTGCTTTTCTGCCTGTACCCACTTGGGACATGGCTGAGGGCCAGGTCCTGAACCAGGTGACAGGAGAAGGACACACCAAGGACATGCAGGATTCTGTGCTCTGCATCCACTACAGCATGAGATGGCTGAGGTGTCTCATATTTGTAGAAAAGGTAAAACCGTGAGGTTAAGTGCCCTGCACAGCTCTTGAGGCAGGAGGGAAGCACAAGCTGTGAAATTCATCTGTCCAGCTGCTTCCCACCACCACTGTCACCAGCTAAGCCAGTACAACAGCCATAACCTCAGAGCTCAGCTCTGTGTGTGCATCCTCCCTGGACCTGCAGGCTGAACCTTTTCCACACCAGCCTTGTCCTGCTCATGAGTGAATCTCTCACAGCCATTGCAGGTAGCCTCAGGTCCAAGTAACATCCCTAAAATCAGGATCAAGCTCAAGTAATCCAGCAGACTCTTCCTGGTTACCACCAAACCAGCCACATTCCTGACTCCAGCAGGTTCAGGCAAAGTATTTTCTCATCCCCAGTGCTGGATGCTCATTACAGCCACCCCAAGTCCCAGCAAGGGCTGAGCAATGCTGCTGTCCTCCATCCTGGGGACTTGGGATGCAGGAAACAACAAAATGCCCTGAGACCTTGTGAGCGGGAAGTGGAGGTCTGTGAAGCAGATGTAACTCCCAACAGCAAATGCCAAGCCAGGAGGAAACTTTCAGCTGAAATCACTGCAGAAAATGGGAAGAAATCCAAAAGTAAGGGGGCTTGGCTGAATAGCAAAGATCCCAAAGGCAACTCATAGCCAGGATTTACATCCAGGCAAGATGGAGCCAAAATCCATGCAAGATGGGGTCCTCCCACCCTCAGCAGTCTGGAGCCAAAAGAGAGGGGCCAGGAAAGCAGCAGGAGGGCTGGAGTTACATCAGCTGCAGCCCCACAAGTCCACAGGGGTGAGCAGCACCTCCTGCTCAGGGACTTGCTCCCTCACGTGAGGTTTTGGAAACCTCAAAAAGCCCAGTCCCAGAGCTACCCAGTATCCCAGCTGTGGGGAGGGGAAGCAGGAGTCCCTTGGGAGAGAGGAAAAGGTATGAGGAACAGCTTTGGGGAAGGAGGGATGTGTTATTGTGACGAGGGCATTTGTCTTCCCTGGAGGAAGGAAGAGGGGAATGCTGGCCTCGCTCCTGAAGGCAGGTGCATGGCTGGATTTATCCGGGGAAGGAAGCAGGGCGGAAGCGAGCCCGGAGCACTGGCGGCTCCAGCGGAGCTCAGGGGCAGGCACGGGAAGGGGCCCAGGGCAGTGAAGCAGCTTTGCGAGGCTCGTCAGGACACGGAGGGGGAGCCCCTGCCAGCCCCACCGCTGCGCTGGGCTCTCACACAATGCCCTGCACGGCACCTCATGGGCACTGCCGCTCCAGCAGCTGGGGAGATGCTTGTTCCCAGACTGGGCTGGAAGGCTGTGAATGCCTGTGCAGACCAGAAGACAAAGCAAAGGCAGCAGTGGGTTTGCTCTGGTTATTCCCAGAGAGAAACAGGACGTGTCCAGAAAACAGCTATGCAGCGTTGGGAACAGTCAGTTCCCCTGCTCTGCTCTGCTCCACCATGTCCTGCGCAAACTCAGAGAAAGGGAGTGAGAACAGCCGTGGGTCAGAGGGCACTGGAGTCTTGCCATTTTCTAAGGCACAGGGAAAAAAGCCAGGCACAGATGAAAAAGCACTGGAGTCATCATTTTAAGGGAGGGTAAGAACTTAATCTATCAATCTGCACTTCCTTGATTGCTTTGACTGCCACCTCCTCCCTTGGGAGCCGTACTGACTCTGGCTTTATCTCCCCAGGGTGATGGGGGCAGGTAGGCAAGCCAGAGGTTTGGGATGCTGGTAACAAAGAGCCTTTGCCTGCAAAACTTGCACCACCACTCCCAGCAGGAATTCCTGCCACATCCCATCCTGGGCTCTCCTCCAGCTGGAGACAGACCACAGCACTGAGGGGGCTCCTACAGCACCTCGCTGCAGGATGCTGCAGGGGCTGAAGCTTACACGGGGCCACTGGGAGTCTTGGGCTTCTTCGCCCTGAACGTGCCCATTTGACGGCTAGTAAAACCAGCCACATCCATCTTGGGATGGTGCTGGCCCAAAAAAGACTGGCAATCAGCAAAACATGCTGCGAAACTACTGCAGAATGTTTGCCCTCCCGAGGCAGCTCAGGTAGGATCTAGGACATGGGTCTGGTGGAACCGTGAGCTGAACTCAGCGCAGCCCAGCTCGTTATGGACCATACAGAAGCAGCCTGAGCATCTGTATGGTTCTCAGCACACAACTCACAAAGTTTACGAAACTGAGCAGACAGGCCGAAACAAGCTGTGTGTGTGCCCAGAGCTCAGAATCAGGAGACAACCCTTCCCTCTAGTGGCTGGATGGCACATGAATCCCACAGCCACCTTCTCCCTCTGTTACCTCTCTCCCCATGATCAGCACAGATCCTAAGGGCATCAAATCTTACAAATTCTATGTGACTTTTTAGTGGGTTAAAACAGGTGCAGCTGCTGATTTGCACAAAGCCAGACAGCCCCGGGGGTCTGTGTCCACTCTGCAGCTTGTAGTGCCCATCCATGCCCATGGTCAGCCTGTGCCATGGCTGTGCCAGGCAGCACAGCTCATGCACAAATGCATCCCAGGCACTGGAGAAGCCACACATCACCGCTGGTTTCTGCAGCAAGGGTGGCTTGTAGGGCCAGTTCTTCAGCTGGGTTACTCCTCGTTGCAGCAGTCATTCAGTGGGACAGAGGATTAGATTCTGCTGGACCTTTTTATCATCCCAGTTTTAAGCTCGTCACTGGCCATTTCTGCCTTTTTTAAAACCCTGGAGAAGTTCTTATTTTAGGAAAAAAATTACATGATGGGTTTAGGAAAAAAACACCACTCAAAACTACAGGTAGATCACTACAGCCTTATACCTGAGAATTTGATCTTTTATGCTCAGAAAGAGGCTGAGGTGTAGATTTGGAAGCCTTATATTTCACTCTCGGGGATGTTACATTATAGCTAGATTAAAAATGAATGCAGCAACTTTGACTTTTTCAAAGTAGGAAGTGAATTATTAATCAAAACAGCCCTTCTATCAGCTAAGGAAAAATGATAAATGGAGCATGAAGGCCATAAACCAGAAGTAGAAATGCCTTTTAATAAAGGTGATTTGCTGTTCAGATTATCACAGTTCTATGCAAGCCTCCCATGATTCATTATTCACCTGCTCTGCACACACTCAGTGAACAGTAGCCAAAAGACATTACCAGGGACCAAGGACATCTCCTCTCAGCCAGGCCCCAAGAGAAGCTCTGCCTCTTCTAGAAACATCCTGCCATTCCTGAATGGACAGGACTTCACACCTAAGAGTTGGTGGTAAAACAGAGCTCAACAAAAAACTGCACTGTGTAGCTTTAGTGCTCAGCTGAAGTGTTCATGTCATAAAATCAGAGAATGGGCTGGGTTGGAAGGGACTTTCAAAGGTCATGTAATGCAAAGAAGGGGCTGAGAATTACAGCGTGACAGTGGGCATTACAGCAACGGGCTCCTACAACTACACAGCAAAAAGATGCTGTAAGAAACCTTCATAACTCATCACAGCTTCTTATCAGGTTGTGGTTAATGAAGAAAATTGACACCAGCCACACCCACCTACAGAGAGACAAACTGCAGATCCTTCTTTCCC